CACTCTTTCATGTTCTGCATTCCATCCCTGCACTGGTTAGAGAGAGAGGAACATTTCCTTTAAGATTGTATTGAACTGTCTAGGAAGACCATGTGCTTACAAGTGAAAAGGAAACCCTTCTCTCCCAGACTCTAGCCTTCTGGAGCATGGAACATGCTAAGGCTTCTGGTGCTTCACCTTAGCTTACTGGCAACAGACTCAGCGATCGAGCCACTTTGCTAAGCACAGCATTTTCTTGGTCCTGTCTAGTCTGGTCATGCCGGCCTCCAAGCCCAGCCTATATTTCCACCATAGGCGTGAAGGAATTCTTGTCTTGGTACCTGCTCTGGCCTCAGATTTCCCAGATAATTATGAAATTCCTTTCAGGCCCCAGAGCCACCATTCAGCTGCCACCTGACTCTGAGAACAGAGAAGCTTTTGCAGCTCCTTTCTGACACCTTTCTCCCCTGGTCAAGGCCCAGAGAACTATTTCTAGGGGAGATGGTTACAAACTAGGCAACTCAGATAAATCATGAAATTCTGCACCCATACTTAGGTAACCCTATTCTCAAGAATCAAAAGAACAATTTGCTGTTATAGAAGTGGATTCGTGAGCCAGAGGGTAAGTGAAATGGGATCAGATGGAGTCACAAATCTGGGGTTTATTTTTCCAGAAAAGAGTAGGACGGCACTCGGAATGTTGCTGTCTGGAGTATCAGAAGTGGAGATAGTTTCTTCTCTGCAAGACGCTGAGCACTGAAGTTAGTTCCTGGCTTCTCTAACCGCTGCTCTCAAAGTCCTAACACCATTCCTGGCTGCTGAAACTGACCTTACTGGAAAATCAAGTCTTTGCTCAATCCTAGCCTGAGTTTACACATTCTTCCTTCTCTCCAACTAGTTAATACCATTAGTACTGAAGTAATCATGAAAAATGAGGGTCTTTGACCTCCATATTTCGTCAAACATAGATATTTACTGAAAGATGCACCATTGCTTCATACACTACAAAAAAAAAAAAAGTATTCCAATTTAAAAAATAATGGGGCCACCAGATGTCATAATGGTTACATTGCTGGACTCCTGTGTAGTCAGCTGAGGTTCGAGTCCCGGACCCAGTGGCTTAAAACTCATGCCAAGCACGTGTGCACGCATACCCAAGATCCTGAGAAGAGAATGGAGGAGAAGGGATTGCAGCATGGCCCTCCCTCCTGGGGGGGGCGGGGGTGATTCCTCACTTTCTGCCTCTCTGTCTCTCTCTATCTCTCTGGCAAGTGCACGCACCCTATAGCAAGAATCTCTCAAAATAAATAAATAAAACTTAAAAAAATATAAGACAACAGCAAAAGATCATAGCATAGTAGTTAAGGGAGCCATGGCAGTTTACAAAAGCATGCCTGACATATTTTCCTTATGGGAAGAAGAAATAGAGGGGAAGGGATTGTGGTATGTCCAAGTTCCACTGCAGGGTGCTTTCTCTTTCTCTCTCTCTCGCTCTCTCTCTGTATGTATGTATGTATGTATGTATGTGTGTATGTATATATCTAGTTCTCCATGTATTTGGAAGTAGCTATGGAAAATCACAAGCCATTTGATTTTAAAGATCATGTGTATAACAGATCCTCAATATCATTATATGAAAGCTCTGAAAAGTTTCAATGATTGGGTTTCTTCATTTCCACAACCAGTATGTTTTAGACTTTAGATCAGAGTAATATTATGAAGAATTATAGAGACCTCACAAAACATTAGCATAAACAACTTGTGATCAATATTAAGGTATCATGCATTTAATATGTTTAATGTGGGGCCAGCCCGGTAGCCTAGTGGTTAAGGGTACCAGATCCTATACAGATGACTGCTTTGAATCCAAACCCCAGAGGCTTGAAAACCATGCCAGGCATGGGTGCGTGTGTGCCCCAAATTCCAACAGGATAAAGGAATAGAGAAGGGATTGTAGCGTGACCACTTCCCATTGGGGGTATTTTCTCCCCTTTCCCCCACCCCATTCCTATGATGAGTACATACACTCTTGGACAATTAAAAATAAAAAATATTTCATGTATTCATATTTAAAGTGTCTTGCCAATGACAGAAGTGAGAAAAGGTCATTTTATAATCAGAAACAGAATGCCTCAAAACCTCATCATCTTTGTAATACTTGAACCAATAAATGCTTAACCTTTGTGTATTTGTGAACAGATTTTTGAACTTTGTGGTGCTGACGCTAACATGTTGGAAATGAAGATTCAAGAGCTAATGTAAGCTGAACAAAACATAATACACTGGTGACATTTTAACAGGCAACAACTAATGTGTCTGTGTTTTTATTTTGAGCAAATGGTGTGGTATTATATGGATCTCACTCTTACTGCTTTACTAGTTGGATACCATATTGCGATCTCACTGCAAAATTGCTTCAGACTGTTGTGATATCCGAGATTGTGTTACTTCCTTTCCTCCAACTTATTTTTCCTATGTGCTATGGGCACAGTCCTTGGGCAATATTTTTAAGGCCTTCATAACAGAGGTTCTGCACAGCTAAGACACATCAAGTCATCAAGATTTTCCAGAGATTGCCAAAGACATAATTCTTTATAGAAATCAAAATACAATTAAATTTTTTCTCTGCTGTAGTATACTCCAAATATATGTAAGCCCCTCCCCAATAGAGCCACTGTTGGTGGTCTAACATTCTTCCCCATTTCATCACCTTATATTTGAAATTTTAGAATTTTTCTAAAATTCTCTTATACAAATTTTTTTTTAATCCCACAAAAACAAAAATTAGAAAGCCCTTTTAGAACCTGTAATGTTTGGCGTTTTTGTTTTGTTTTGTTTTGTTGCCAGAGGATACACATTCGCATCAGAGAGACAGAAAGAGAGAGGGAGAAAGCACCTCCCAATGGGGCATGATCACACCACAATCGCTTTTCCACTTATCCATCCTGGAGGGATTTGGAGCATGCATGTATATGCACTCTGTGTTTTTCCGGCCACCAGGGCTAGGATTGGAACCACATGGTTGGCCATGTGGGACACAGCTCCCTTAGCACTAGGCCATGGAGCCACCCTATAATGTCTTTTTAAAAAACCTGACATATTGGGATCAGCCGTTAGCATAATGGCTATGTCGCTGAACTCCCATGTAGTCGACCACAGTTCAAGTCCCAGACCTGGTGGCTTAAACTCACGTCAGGCATGTGTGTGTATGTGCCCAAGATCCCAGGAAAAGAATGGAGGAGAAGGGATTGTGGTGTGGCCATCCCCCCTGGGGGGCGATTTCTCGCTTTCTGTCTCTCTGTCTCTCTGTCGACACAAGCCCAAAAAAAAAAACCCCCAAAAAAAAAAAAAAAAAAAAAAAGAAAAGAAAAGAAAAAGAAAAGAAAAGAAAGAAAAAGAAAACCTGACATATCTCAGACATTTAGAGACCAGAGAGGATGGCTTCTTCTAATATTCACTCTTCCTACTATGGGGATCACCAGATGAACATTGGGCCTTCACATCATAGAGCAGAAATGACTTTCCCTAGCCATAAATGGCTGGGATTTTTTAAAAATATTTTTCTTGGGAGAATGAGTTGAAAAAACCACTCTCTAAAGATGACATACGAATAGCCAAAAGGCATATGAAAAAATGCTCAACATCCCTCAGTGTAAGGGAAATGCAGGTCAAAACAACAATGAGATCCCACCTAACCCCAGTCAGAATGACTAAGATTAAAAAAAACAAAAAATGATAAAGTGTTGGTGGGAGGAGGTAAAAGGGGAACTCTTACACTGCTGGTGGGAATGTAAATTAATCCAGCCACTGTGGAGAACAATTTGGAGATTCCTCAAAAATCTACAAATAGAACTACCATTTGATCCAGCAATCCCATTCCTTGGTATCTACCCAAAGGACAGAAGAATTCTTCATTGGAAAAGTGCTTGCACATTGATGTTTATTGCAGCACTATTCACAATTGCTAAGACATGGAAGCAACCCAAATGCCCCCATATGGATGAATGGATTGAAAAACTGTGGCACATATACTCTATGGAATACTATTCAGCCATAAAAAAAAAACCCTGGCTGAAGAATATGGAAGATTTACTGCTGAGTGAAGCAAGCCAGGCTATGAAGGAGAGACATTGTATGTCCCCACTTAATATATACCGAGTGTCTGCACTCTATTACTGAAACTTACTGACTAAAGGGTGTACAAACATAAGAGATGGGTGTGATTGCCAGATGTGGTATGTGTGGAGAAGTGGGGCCTGGGGAAGGACATTTGGAGGAGGGATACAGAGATAGAGCATTGAGAGGATGGGGAGGTAGTGAGGTTATCTGTTGATATTTTGATCAACTAGATTGGGGAGAAACGTTCACATATTGAAATGTTCACTTTGTAAGTTAAATATGATTGAAGGTATAAAAAAATAAAAAATTAAAATAAAAAATATTTTATTAATATTAATGATTGTATAATTTTGTGGGGCACAATGTGAGTTTTCAGTATGTGAATACACATTACTATGATTTAATCAGGATAATTAGCACATCATCCCAACTCTTTGTCATTATTACTGTTTGGGAAACAGTCAAAACCTCCCTTTTAGTTACTGTGAGATACACAACAAGTTGTTGCCAGCTGTATTTTCCACACTATATGTTTTTTTTAAGAATTATTTTATTTAACTTTACTTATTATTACTATTTTCCAGTTTGATCAGCCAGAGAGAGAGAGAGAAAGTGAGAAAGCAAGCCACCAGGTCTGGGACTTGAACTGTGGTTGGCCATGTGGGACTGTCCAGCACCTTATCCACCATACTACCTGCTGGTCCCATCCCCACTGTATTATCTAACACTAAAAGTGGTTCCTCTTATCTCTCTGCAATTTTGTTTCCGTTAATCAGCATTGTCTTATTCCATCCTTCCCAAGCTCTAGCAGTCATTTTTCATCTCTTTACCTCTATAAGGTCATTTTATTTTCTTTTTTAGATTTCCACATATGAGGGAAAACATGTGGTGTTTTTCTTTCTGGACTCAGCTTATTCATTTGATCCAACATCCTCAAGACTTGCCCATTTAATGAATGAGATTTTGGCAAAGCACAGGATTCATGTGTTTTATTAGAATTCTTTGGGCTTGAGCCAGCCCGTGGTGTGGTATTAAGGCTGCTGAATCTGACATGGCCAACTGGCATAATTTTCAAGGCACCAGATCCTGTACTTGAACTATAGATGGCCATCTGGGAGTCTAGCACCTTAACCATTATGTCACCTGCTCGGCCCTTGTGCCCTCATTTTAATGAATCATGTAAAGAAATTTATAATAACTATCTCAATTTGAACTTCCAAGATTTAATGCCCAAGTTTCTATACTATAACTACAGTTTACCAGTTGTTTGTACCATAATCTAACTGAATCATCTTTTACCCTCAGAACATTCTGAGATGTTCTTACTACTACCAAATTATAGATAAGAGATTGACTTGTCCAAGACCACAAAGAAAGTGAGGGTGCCAGAATGCATGCTTAGGCCAATCTGTCTCCAATCCCACATGAAATATCAGTTAAAGTTCTTTGGGGCTGGGGTCAGCAGGTGATATGGTGGTTAAGGAGTTGGATTCCCACATGGCTGACTACAGTTCAGGTTACAGACCTGGTGGCTTGAAAATAACAATAAACAAACAAACAAACATTTACAAAAAAGAAAAAAAGAAAAGAAAAAACTCTTTGGGACCTCTTTTTCAACTTCCATAGGAAAACTATAACAGCAGGTTGACTGAAAAAAAACTATAACATAGGTTGATTATGGCAGACAGAAGTTTGAGTCCCAAACCTGGTAGCTTGCTTTCTCATTTTCCCTCTCTGTCTCTTTCTGGTGAGCACACATGTCCTATAGCAAATTAAATAATAACAATAATTAATTCTTTTTATAAAGGATAAACATACCACAGTTCTGTGTAGTTGTGTGTGGCGAGGGTGTTGTGCCATATTCACTGATGAGAGTCCACCGTGTTTCCCAAGAACTTCTGACTTCCTTCCACGTGCATTGTGCATCTCAATGATATCTTCCCCCAACTTGCTGGCACCCAAGCACAGGCCTCTCACCTTTTAAACTCTGCACTGGAGAGAAAATTCAAAGAAAAACACGCACCCAGATCCACTGCCTCATTTCCTCCCAGTATAGACAAGAACATTATTTAATCACAGCAAAATCTTGTTAGTTAGCTCTCTCGTCTCCAATGAACACATCTTTGACATGCTAAGAAAAAAAAAAATATATATATATATATACCCTCTGGTTTATTGTCCACATTTATCCCCCTAGAACTTCAAATTTCAGTCTAAATGTGAAACCGCTCACCCTTTCATTTTTATGGGGTACACTCAAGGCTAGTCTTGGTAAAAGTATGAGTTAAGTCAAGATTAAGTTTGAGACCTTCCCTACTTCCAGTTTTGGTGTTTCCTTACCCAGTATTTCTTCCTCCTCTTTCTCCAGTTTCAACTATCACCACCCAACATACATTTTATGTTTAATTTCCCCAGAGCCTTTCTTACTATCATCTAATTCTGCCGTTTACTCGGTCATCCAACGGTCATTATGGAGGAGTGGTTTTATGCCAACAGTAGGCCCACCCTATGTCCTTGAGGTGCTCACACTTCAGCAGGGGAGAAGGAGATAGGCAAACAAAGCAGAAGGAATTACAGTGAGTGGTGCTGTAATCAGTATTTACCTAAAGGCTAAGTGATGTGGAAAAACTGTTGAGAGGGTGACTGGTTCACTTGGAGCTTGAGCAGGGGATGGGGTTGGGCTTCAGTTGCTTCTGAGAAGAGCTGACCGTGGGCTGGCCTTAAAGGCAAAGGAGCAGTCTGTTAGATATCCAAGGGAAGGAAAGGCTGATATGACCAGGCAAAGCACAGTGACAGGAAAAGGAGTAGGGGTAGCATAGTGGCAGTGTCCAAAGTGGCTAGAATTTGAGGGAAAACAAAAGAAGCAATTAATCTCATTAAGCCCTCCAAAGGCTTAAAATATATTTCATAGGAGCAAAAGTTAGTACAGTAACACTTAATGTTAGAAAGGATGCTTGACTTGGGGCCACAAGTCTCTTCAGTCTAACTGCAGCTATGTTGTTTGAGGTATGTCAACCTCTGCAAGCTTGATTGTCTAACACTAGATGAAGAAACTGGGTTAAGCTATACTAAAAGACCATCTCATAAATACATCTCTAGTGTGGACCAACCTGTGATTCCATTTTAAGGAGGGATGCTTGAGTTCAGAGAAAGGGCTCTCTGTGCCACACCCCCACATCTTATGGGGTTCCCATTCAGCCCCACATGTCGAAGGGACAAAGCACCCTCCTCAGTATATTCTGAGAAAGCCCAGCCCAGTCTTCAGACCCCACTGCTGAGTGAGAAACACTGAGTGGTGTGGACTCACCATCTGGCTATTGTCCTCAGATGACAGCACAACTAACCATAAAGTGGAACTTGCAGTACTGACTTAAAAATCATGGGACCAGGACTAATGGTTACATCGCTGGACTACCACATATGTATTATGAATAATAAAATTCCTGCAGTCCACCCACTCTGACCTTAGAGCTTGCTATTGAGAAATTTCACAAATTTCTGTTCAAAAATCTCTGAGGGATGAGAGAACCTCTCTGCCCTCTTTACACATGTCTATATAGGCCAGGCATTAAGTATCTGTAAGTCTATGGCATAACCAGGTGGATCAGGTTCCTGTTTAATAAGGAATCAAATTGGGACCAGCAGGTGGCATAATGGCTATGTCACTGGACTCTCACATAGTTGACTGCGGTTCAAGTCCTGGACCCGGTGGCTTAAACTCATGCCAGGTGCATGTGAGTATGTACCCAAGATCCTGAGAGGAGAACAGAGAAGAAGGGACTGTGGCGTGGCCATCCCCCCAGGGGCTGATTTCTCGTTTTCTGTCTCTCCGTTCCTCTCTATCTTTCTGGTGAGCACACGCACCCTATAGCAAAAAGCTCTAAAATAAATAAATAAATAAAAATAAGGTATCAAATCTAATAATAATTTTGCCTTTCCACATCTTTTAAGCCAATGAATCTGAGATGCTATCTATTTTAAGATATACCTTCGTTTTATGTACTTTTAGGAAGGAAAACAATCTTGGTCACTCAAGTCATGATACATGCCTCGACCAGAGAACTACTGGGTTGCCAGAAAAGTCATGATGCATTTTTTTTGCAGAGAAAAATGTAGCAAATGTGTCCTGACTTTTCTGACAACCCGATAAATAATGCACAAGGTCAGCCACACCAAGATCCTGATGCTTTGAAATGTCCTTCGTCTATTCTAGATTTATAAGAATTTCGGTACCTTCAGTTGCACTGCCCTTCCGTGAGATAAAATGTTTCGTTCTCACATATCTCAACAGCAAAATGCTGTGCAGCTTCATTTTCTCGTTTGAGAACCATCGTGGTTCTCTCATACGCAGCCCTCTGCACTGGGTCATTCAAGAAACGCTTTCTTTCTCTAAAAATTCTCCTACTCCCTCCAGTCTCTCCTGATTCCTGCCTCCTATAGAGGAGAAATTATTCTTAACAGTTTAACAGTTTTGCTTAAAGAACAAAGAGCGAGTTCTTGGAGACACTGTACTGATAAAAGGTAAGTTTTGATTCATTTATTACTTCAACAAATATATATTTAATACCTATTACGTACTAGACATGGGCCAAGACTCTTAGTATGTATTAGTGATTAAAAATAAAAAAGTGAGAGAAAGACAAAATCCCTTTATCTAAAGGAACTTTATCTTCTAGTAAAGCCAGAAAATAATTAATATAATATCACATAATATAAAATATTAAATGAAAGGTGATAAGTATTAAAATATTTTTAAACAAAATGGGATAAGAGAATGAGAAATGGGGACTAGCAGGTGGTATGGTGGTTAGGCACTGGACTCCCACATGGCCAACTGCAGTTTGAGTCCCAGACCTGGTGGGACTCAAAATTTAAAATAATAATAATAAATAAAACTAAATAAGTAATTCTTTTAAAAAAGAGGATAAGAACTATGAAGATGAAATGTATAGGATAATGAGATACCAATTGCTTGAGTGGGAAGGTAAGATTTAAGCAAATATTTCAAGGAGGTGAGGGAATTACCCAAATTCTAACTAAGGAAGAAGAATTGAGAAAGAAGGAACAGCTGAACAAAGACCCTCTTGGTCTGTGTCAACCTTGCACTGCCTGTTCGTACCTTTAGGAGGTTTAGATGGAGACACTCCCAGAGAGTGAGAGCATGCCTCCTCACTCACCTCTAATTCCCTGGCATCCAACCCAATGCACAGACCAGAGGAGACCCCAGCAACGTGACAACTAAATGCGACATGGAAAAAAAAATAAAAACTGAAAAATAATAAATGCAATGTGGTATTCTAAATTGAAGTCTGGAGCAGAAAATTTAAAAAAAGATATTAGTGGAAACACTTGCAAAATCCAAATAAATTCTGGAGTTTAGTCCATGGTAACACACCACTGTTGGTTTCAAAGTGTTGAATAATATACCACAGTAATATACTATATTAGCATTGGGAGACTGGATAAGTGGCATATGGGAACTCTCACTACCATCTCTGCAAATTTTTTATAAATCCAAACATGATGGGTGCTTGAGTCCTCAGGGGTGCTGTTGTCCTCAGATAACGGTTAGTCCAACTAAAGGAAGTAGGACCTGCCTGACACTTTTGAGAGGAAGCAGAAAAAAACAAAAAAAAAAAGAAAAAAAAGTGTGTGCTGGACACTAGAGAACATGCAGTACTCACTTAGAAATCATAATCCAAGTTACAGAGTTTAGCCTGACCACACACCTTCTCCACACACGCATTCTACACCGCCCAGGGGATATCTGAGTAAGGCACAGAGTCTAGACCAGACAGTATTTCCACGCCTGGGATAAAAGCCTGGAGCTAGCTAGCTCCACCAAGTCAGATTATGGAAAAGAGACTGTAACCAGGGAGCGGTGGACCAGAATGAGGCCCTTGGGTCTAGTCCAGCACTGGCACCAGTACAGGTGAGTGGATATGCCTGGTACCTTGGCCAAAGCCTCACCCTTTCAGAGCACAGGCCACTGCAGGGAAAATGGCTGGAAAACTATAAGGCAGCCAGTAATGATGGGAAAGTCCAGTTGTGTGTGTGAAGGTTTAACGTTTGCAGCATGTGCAAATTTAACAAGGGGAAGTCAAGGACCACCTGTACACCAACGCCGGCTCTCATGAGTGCCTGGCCCTCTGCAAAGAGCAGCCTACGAATGTCTTCAGAGAGAAGGAACAGGGAGGAGAATGAATCCCATGCCCGGATGTGGCAGATGTCAGAAGGAATGGCTCTGGCAGCCTCAGGCATTTTACATTCTGTGGCGTCTCTCTACATGTCAGAGCAGGCAGATGTTCAGTTTTCATTATTATTTCAGTCCCGCCTCCCATTTTAACAATAACACAGGCTATGCATCAGAAGCCAAGAGAATTCCCTGGAAACCAAAGGTGGCTCCAACTCACTTTCAGCTGTCGAGGACTAGAGGGGATTTCTACTTGCCCGAAAGTAGAAAGGGTCATGCTTTTAGTAAGGGCCTTTCTATTGTAATAGAAAAAGAGAAAGAGATGTAACTTAATTTTGATCTTGTTATCTAATGCTGAGTTGTACATTTCTACCAATGCAATTTTTATTTATCAAACACTAACAGTATTTTCTAGCTAAGTCGTGACCCAAACAAAGACCCATTGGATACAAGGAATGGGAAAGGATTTTCTTAAAATGAAACAAAGAATATCAGAGTGCTTTTACTGGAGTAACAGTAACTATTTCATAAAACTTGTTTAGTTTTATAGATAGGTTTTTACTAAGGGCACAATATAAAATATGTTTTTGATTGCGGGTTCTGATGAGTCAAGCTTGAAAACCATTATAAATAAGGCCTCATCTCCATCAGGGATGACCTAGTACAGGGATTCTCAGAGGAAGGGTCTGGGGTCAAAGCATCAAAATCACTTGGAAACATGCTAGAAATACACTTTTCTGACCCCACTCCAGATACCCTTAGTCAGAGGCTATTGAGGGGAGGAGGTACAGAATGAAATCCGGATGATTCTGACACGTATTCACATTTGAGCACTGGTAAAGCAGACCAGAAGACTGATTAAAGCACCAGAAAGCACAGACGAGGCCAGTACGTGCTTCCCGGGGGTCCTGACGAGCTGCAAGCTTGAGTACAGGAGAAAGGGGATTGCAGCATGATGACACCCTGTTGAGGGTAGTTCTCTGTCTCTCTTTCTCTCTCACTTAACTATCATGAATAAAATAAACTTTAAAAATCAACAACATAACTATACCCCACTGCATGGCTGACTGCAATTTGAGTCCTGGACCCAGCAGTCGGAAAAATATATAAGGAGCATGTGCGTGGTGCCCAAAATCCCAAAAGGAGAATGAGGTGGAAAGGATTACAGTATGGCTACCTCCTCAGGGATGTGCTTGTTGTCACTCTCTCTGTCTCTCTGCCTCTGTCTCTCTCTCTCTCTCTCTGGCAAGTGCATGTGTCCTCTAACACTTTAAAAATAAATGAAATTAGCACTTAAAAAATAATTAATGAGGTACAGTAGCAACTCACTGCTCTATGATGTTGAGGTCACATGGAGAGTATACCAAGTTCACGTCCCGAGGCCTCCCGGTGCATGCTGGGTGCATGTGTGTATGTGCCTGTGGTCCTGGCTGGCTGAGGCTAGGGGTAGTGTCACAGCAGGAAGACTCTGTTAAGGGGAGCTTTGTCTCTCTCTCCTCTCTCTCTCTCTCTCTCTCATGGAAGAAATACATAAACTTTAAAAAAGAATGAGAATAAGAGTAGTGACAAAAACACTGTGCAACCCTTAGATTAAAAAGGAGACTCAAGAGGGACCAGCAGGTGGCATGGTGGTTAAGGCGCTGGACACTCCCACATGGCCAACCGTGGTTCAAGTCCTGGACCTGTGGATTTCTCTCTTTCTCTCTCTCTCTCTCTCTCTCTCTCTCTCTCTCTCTCTCTCTCTGTGTCACTCTCTGGTCAAATTAAAATAAATGGATGAATAAATACAATTTAATAAATAAATAAATCTTAAAAAAATGAGACTCAAGGATCCCAGTTAAACAGCTAGAAAAACCCCTATAAACACTCTTCTAGTAAGAGTTTTTAGCAAGTCATCTTTAATAGAGTTGCTACTTACAGAGGCTAAAATCTAAAGATAGTGGATAAGTAAAAAAATGACGTAAGTCAGGTTCACACGTAAGTATAAATCAGTCTCGGGTCAGCACTGGCAGGTGGCATGGTGGATAAAGGCGCTGGACTCCCACTTGGCTGACCACAATTCGAGTCCTGGACCTCACCAGGTGGCTTGCTTTCTGACTTTCCCTCTCTCACTCTCTGTCTGATCAAACTGGAAAATAATAACAATAACAATAAATAAAGTTAAATAAAATAACTCTTAAAAGAAAAATCAGTCTCATGTCCCAATGAGGTCTGTCCATGTGGTCATTTTTGGTCATCAGCAGTGGAACACATCATCATTTCCCCAATGGAGGGGTCAGGTGTAATAGTTAGCTTGTGTCTGGGGCCATATTGTTCCATAAATACTAACCTAAAATCGTAGAATTAGTTCTGTGCAATGAGATAGTACCCAGCTTAAGAACCAAGGCAAGGTACATTCCAAACACCTACAATAGAACACTAAAGCCTGACAGAAGTAACTGAGAGACTGGGTCTGCACCAATTGGAGCCAAGATGGCACCTGGACTGATCATTGCCTAACCTCCTTTCTCAGAAAAACATGAATAAACCATATTTACTTAGCCTGGCATTAAGCCATACAAGCCAAACACCTACCAAAATTTGGTGCTGGCCCATTTTGGGAGATAGCCTTTCTATCTTTCCTTTGGGATAACAGTTCTCCCCTTCCTCTCAGAGGAAGGAAGAAAACTGTTCACCCATCTCCTCTCACAGGGTTGGTTCACCTCTGTAGTAGTCCATTCTACACTTTCTGTAATACAACTGCATTCATGAGACCAACAGATGGTGGAATGGTTATGTCACTGGACTCCCACATAGCCGACCATGGTCCCGGTCAGACCCAGTGGCTTAAAACTCACATCAGGCATGTATGCATGTGTGCCCAAAATCCCGAGAGGAGATTGAAGAGAAGGGATTGCAGTGTGACCATTGCCCTCCCACCCCCGGGGGGGGGGAGGGTGTGATTTCTTGCTTTCAGTCTCTCTGCTAAGCACATTTACCCTATAGCAAAAATGTCTCTTAAAAAAACAAACAAAAATTGCTTTCACTCTCCCTCAAAGGCTCATCTTGAATTCTTTCCTGTGCAAACTAAGGACTCTCACACCCTGAGTAGAGTCCTCCCAATGGATTAAGTCTCCCCAGCAACAAGCTGAGCAAGCAAGTGAAAAGTTCTCATATTCCTATTGTCCTCTCTCCCCTCCTATCTTGCTTTTCCTCTCCATCTCTTCTGTATATGAAAGTGAGAGTGAGCTCCACCCATTGAGCTTTCCTCCTCTCTCCCTCCTCACCTTATCTACAGGAGACCCAGCTGCAGGCCTAGCTGGGCCTTCTGAGCATCTTGTGACTATATCTTCACCTCATGGGATTGGTCTACAGGGACTATTCCAGACCTCCCACAGCAACATCACGAGACTAGGGGCACTGACCCCTAAACAGACTCTACTGATTCTGCTCCTCGATAAGCTACCCTTTACTTGAAAATTAACTTCAAGCAATGTATATACAAACCAGGCCCCTATCTTGGGAACAGGAATCTGCATTGGTCTTAAATTAATTTGTGAATGCTTTGCTCTTACCATATAAACCCGAGCTATGCTCCTGGAAGCAGGAACCATTGTCCTCCCAGTCATCACCAGAACATGGTCTCCCCAGTGTGAGTAAACTCAGGTCTTCTCCTGGATCTCCGGGTGTGTTTCTTGGAATTAGTAAGTATTCTGGGTAAGTCCTTTCAGACTTGGGGCTCCCCCAGAACATGAAGTCACTACAAATCCCTTTCATAACGGATGCAATTCTACTTACCTGTATACTACCTGGTAGCTTTCTCTTCCCCGAAAAGGACATACACACACCTTACCGTAGTATCTCATTTAATTCACATGCAATTCGATGAGATCAGTAATACCATTCTCCTTGTATAGACACAGAAGTTCAGAGATGAAATACCTTGCCCAAGGTCACACAGCTCCTGGTAAATAGTGGAGCCCAAATGTGAACCAAACAAACAGCATGATAAACTAACATGACAAAGATTCTTGCCATGAAAGCACAATCTATTGCCTCGGTTAACCCTTTAATTGGTGCCACACTTGGGCCCCTATTATCTTTGCTAACACATTTCTCTCTCCAGGATATGTCTAAAAATCTGGGTGTAGCATCTAGGATTTCCACATGAGGTGTTCTCTTAAAAGGAAGTGTTCACTTTGCTATTCCTTATCAGGGCTTTTAAGAAAAAGGGGATGTGAAGGAGAGCTCAGAGAAGGGCGGCTAAGGAAAGAGCCATCAAGGGATATGTGAGCACTGTACTTCTATACAGCTGCTGCTCCCCGGGGTGAGTTTGATTCTTACTGAACACGGTGAAACTTTTCTCCAGAAAACTTCTCCATCAATACTGGAAAGGCTAGCTGGAAAGGGGATTTGCCACCAGGTAAGAATATGCAGCCTCAGGACCAGCAGTTAGCATAATGGCTATGTCGCTGGACTCCCACGTAGTCGACCGCGGTTCGAGTCCCGGACCCGGTGGCTTAAACTCATGCCAGGCGTGTGTGCATGCGTGCTCAAGATCCCGAGAGGAGAAAGGAGGAAAAGGGATTGTGGCATGGCCATCCCCCCTTGGGGGGTGATTTCTCGCTTTCTGTCTCTCTGCCTTTCTCTGTCTGCTGAGTGCACATGCCCTATAGCAAAAACCTCTCCAGAAAAAAAAGAATATGCAGCCTCTGCCAGAACTCCTGAGCACTGAACTTCCCGAACTTTCGTCATCTGCTTGTCATCTTTATGATTCATTTACTCAATCTACCCACCTTGTTTCTATGAAAAGGTTTATTTTACAACCAAACTCTTTATCACCACACCCTAAATAAAAGATGAATACTGCTCTCAAAAGTAGAAACAAACTTCAAAAAGAAAAACATTGAAATCAAAATGACTTCTGTTTTCACTTCTAACTTGGTATGTGGTTTGTCAAAGACCCAAAGTCTGAGTGTTTCTGTCTCTCTCTACCTGCCTCTCTCTGTCTCTGTCAATCCTCCAGCATGAGGAACAATTGGAGGGATGTTAAAGATAGAATAGCCCTGGATGGGCCCATGGCCTAATGGTTTAGGGAACCAGAGCCCACATGGCCAACTATGTAGTTCGAGTCCCAGGCCTGGTGGCTTAAAAAACTTTCTGGGTACATGTGTGTGCCCCAAATCCCAACAGGATGGAGAGATGGAGGAAAAGAGACTAAAATGTAGCCACAATTCATGAAGGGGTGTTTTCTCTCTGTCTCTCTGTCTCTCTGTCTCTGGAGAATACACACACTCTCTAGCCAATCTTTTTTAAAGGTACAGAAAGAGAATTTTTAAAAAGGAATAAAGAGGAGAGTTAACTACAACTTTGTACTTTCTGCTCAATTCTTCTATAAACTTAAAACTGCTCTAAAAATTCAAATCTGGTTTTTTCAACAAAGAAAAATTAAGACTTCAAAAATGTGTTTAAGATATTAATATTCTTTTTGGATAAGTCAAAGTTATTTAGTACTGCCTTCTCTTATACTACATCAAGTCACCAGAAGTTTTATCTGAAATTATCTCTCATACTCACTTCAGTGACCCACATTTGTGAATCAATACCTAGTCTAAGTGCTATTATATATGGAGGGGAAAAAAAAGAGAAGTACAGCTTTGTGGGATGTTTTGTTGTTTGTTTGTTTTTTGGAGAGGTTTTTGCTATAAGGCGCATGTGCTCACCAGAAAGACAGAGAGAGACAGAGAGACAGAAAGCGAGAAATCACCCCCCCAGGGGGGATGGCCACGCCGCAATCCCTTCTCCTCCATTCTCCTCTCGGGATCTTGGGCACACACGCACATGTGCCCGACATGAGTTTAAGCCACCGAATCCAGGACTTGAACCACAATTGACTACATGGGAGTCCAGTGACATAGCCATTATGCCAACTGCTGGTCCCGAGAAGTATAGCTTTGGATGGTTTCCTATTGATGGCAGAATGAAGTTTCAAATCATTCACTTTCTGCCAAAGCCCTTCAGATCTGCCCTCCCTTCACTTTTGCCCTCCTTCCATTGTGCTTGTGCCCCAGGCATTCTTTTCAAACTCCATAGTCTTCCCTCCATCTGGGATTTTCTTCCAACTATCACTGCCTGTCAAATCTTATGTGTCCCTCAAGGTCGCCCAGGAAACTCAGCATCCCTCCAAGTCAGCACACCTACTTCTGGGAAGTTTCCCTTGGTTTTCCTGATAGAGGAAAGTATTTCTTCCCTATGAAGCTGTGTGTGCACATTTATTTGTTTTTCTTTAATTGCCACTGGGCACATATATTCACCAGAGAAAGACAGAGAGAGGGGGAGAAAGCATGCCACAATCCCATCTCCTTCATTTCTCCATCCTGTCAGGATTTAGGGCATGGACACACATACACCCAGCATGTTTTCCAAGCCACCAGGGCTGGGATTCAAACTCCAGTTGGCCATGTGGGATACAGCTCCCTTAATGAATGATTATACTTCTAATCACTTATGAACTCACATAAGATTTCAATGAAGATCAGGAATACATTTTTATTTCTACTGAGAAATACAGGTTTGGAAAGGGATGATCAAGTGCACAAATTTAATACAGTCATAATCTATAAACTGGTCCTGTAGGAAAGCGCAAAGGTATAAACGTTATTCTCTACCTTGTCTTCAACATATACAGAAATAACTCACATACCTCGTAGTTTCTATATATTTACAAGTCTTTAAGCTGTTCCCACACAGATCATTACGAGGATGAGAACTTGGACTCAGTGCAAAGCCAGCAGAATCAACAGGATCTAGAGCCAAGAATGAATCTGCTCCAAGTTGGGACCAGTTGTGTCTTCATTAATCAGCATGGCAATTCATCACGGTGTTTGGTTTTAAGGCTTTTCTGGAAGACCAGCATGCGGTAATGGAAGAATCCTTTTCTGAAATCAGACAGGCCTAGGTTTGCAATATGACTCAGCCCCGCTGAGCCAGAGCCTTCTCTGGAGCCCAGTTGTCTCATCTGCAAACCAGGTTATAGTAGCTACTCTAAAAGGTTATTGCAAGTATTTTTTTTTTTTACCTTTTTCTTTCTTTCTTTCTTTCTTTTTTTTTTTTTTTTTTTGGGGAGGGTTTTTTTTTTTTTTTTTTTTAAGAGTTTCTTTTGCTATAGGGCATGTGCACTCGCCAGACAGACAGAGATATAGAGAGAGAAAGTGAGAAATCACCCCCCAGGGGGGATGGCCATGCCGCAATCCCTTCTACTCCAAGCCGCCGGGTCTAGGACTCAAACCACGGTCGACTACATGGGAGTCCAGCTATCGCTGGACAATAGGGTCCACTATGCCAACTGCTGGACCCTATTGCAAGTATTAAATGGGATCATATATATGAAGTGTTTTCTATGATATCAGTCCATAGCAGGTGTTCAAAAATGGCAATGATGATGGTGACAAGGACGACTGTGTTTTCATTTCCAGCTTTCCAGTCAGATTATGCTCTGTTTGAGTATCTTAGCAATTTATATATTTACTCATTTATTTATTTTACTTCTTTTGTATTCCCCAACAGTCTCTGGTATAAAGTACGATAAGGAGTAATCATCTCATAGACATCCTGAGAGACTGACATTTTAAAATGCCTCATTATTTTAAGCATCTTTTGTAAATCTGACAATATGCAACCACAGTTAAGGTAAAATAGGACCAAAAATTAATGTTTGTAGGTGACCAATAGACTACACACTGTCTTTCATAAATCTCTGATTAAGTTTATGTAGATAACAAACATTAGCGAAATAAAGATGTAGTTATTTATAATAGCAAAAAATGGTTCAGACATAAAAACTATTCTTCCCACATTTCCCATCAAGATAGTCCATTGGGTACATGCCCTCTTCCTGCACCTACCATTGTGTACAGACCTCAGCAGAGATGGCATTTGCCCTCCCCCAGCTGCTTCAGAGTTCAGAGTGACAGTCTACTCAGCAAATGAACATTGCCCCGCGGAAGCTAGTCTTTATTTGTTCTTATCCTAATTTAAGCACAGCTATCATTAAACTTTTTTTTTCCTACAATAAAATACCTTAACCTAAGCTTTGAAGATTTCCCATTGGCTTCTGATCTGACTTACAGCCTTGTTTCCTAATCCCAGGCCTTTTCTTAGAACTCTGTGGTTTGGACAAGGTACTTCACCTGTGATGTCATTTTTCCTTTCATCGAGCCAGAGTCTCCCTGATGCTAGATCTGTGAGACTACATTGGTCAAAGTATGTTTTTTAGCCATTGTGGCATTCAGTCTAGGCAGCTCAAAGACATACTCAAGCTCATCCAGTTAAAGAGGACCCTGAGATTGAGGTTTGACTCTTACTAACCAGAAACTCCACAGACATCTCCCTTTCTCCAAGGCTTGGGAATATTCAGCAATTGTTGGTTTTGTCATTGCTGTTTCTCTCATTATCATGCAATGGGAAAAATGAATATATTAGAATTATTCATCCTTGTCTGTGTCCTGATTGGACCATTCTCTCTTGAGACAAGAAAGCCAAGCTCCAGGATGGGAGAGGAAGGAGACTTATCTACAAGTAATGGCCTGGACTGAGCTGCATGCAAAGTAAGCAAACAGAATTAGATGTGCCCCCCTTTCCTCTGTATTCCCTGATTCAATCACCCCGCATAAGTAGTTTGTAGGAGGATCTTATCATCTTATCCAGTATTACAGCATTTAAAGAACTCCAGATCCCATAAATTACACAAATAGTAATTCACTTCCTTATGGTAAACACTGTACTCTCCCAGGAGTTTTTGAAATGTAAATATTTCCAGGTGTACCAAATTAAATCAGTACTATCTTTAAAAAACAAAAACAAACACACAAAACAAAAGATGAGTTCCCCGAAGGAAAAAAAGAAAAGAAAGAAACATCTCAACAACAGTTCAACTTGGGAGGTCAGGTAGAGGAAAGTGGAGACTGGGTAGTGAAAAGAATGCTGATAAAAGGGCAGACAGAACTCTAGTGAGGGGAGGCAAAGAAAGTATTACAGGGACCAGCAGTTGGCATAATGGCTATGTCACTGGACTCCCACGTAGTTGACTGCGGTTCGAGTCCCGGGTCCGGTGGCTTAAACTCACGCCAGGCACGTGTGCATGCGTGCCCAGGATCCCAGGAGGAGAATGGAGGAGAGGGGATCGTGGCGTGGCCATCCCCCCTGGGGGGTGATTTCTCGCTTTCTGTCTCTGGCGAGCGCACGTGCTCTATAGCAAAAACCTCTCAAAAAAAAAAAGTATTACATATCCCCTCCACGTTGTGGCCTCACCCTGGGCCAGCCTCAAAATGTGAGAAGTTGGTGGATTCTTCTGGGAGCCAGACCTACCACACACAGACCTGAACAGCCATGTGCCTGTGACAGTGGGGCCTTTACTGCATCCGATCGCCCTGTCCTCAGGAGGGCTGTAAGAAACAACCCTAGGACACTCAGTAATGGAGTCTACTCTAAGGACAATATCGAGGACATGGCACATCGCACAACAGGACACATGTCTCTCAGTTTCAGTACAAGGAACAATTGTTTTCCTTCAGAGTAACTGAGGGTATCGCAGACCATGAAGCTGAGCAAGATCCCTGTGGTAGATGCTACACCGTCCACCAGATCCCTTATAGTAAGCAGAGGCCCCAACCACTAATTGCTGTGACTCCTGGCTCCTACTGGCCTCCAATGGCTCTCAGCTGCCCCAACTGGATGATGGCAGTGCTTTCTCCAGGAGGTTATGACCCCAGCAAAGGCAGCAAAAGTCAGTGACTGATCTGGGGGAGCAGAAGGTCCATTGTCTCAAGGAGTAAAGCTGTGATGGGGTTCAGGCTTCAGGGGCCACTCCCTGTGGATCAGCCAGAGGCTAATCTTGAGCTCGAACCTACTTAGCGCTTTCTCTTTCTTTTAGCGCTTTATCTTTCCCTCTCTTGTGTCACTCCTTCCGTTAAGGCTTTTTCAGAGGAGCACCCCTCAATAAACTGTATACACCACAATATCTAGCTTAGCTTCTGCTTTTGGAACAGGACTCTTGCATTTGTACATCTTTGCCTCTGAGATACTAACAACTGTGAAGTTATTATTTTATGTAACATCAAGAAAGAAAAGATGCTGCCGATTAATATGAGGCAGGCCTTTAATAGTAAACCACATCCTCACGTTGTTGAAGTCAAAAGGTAAAAAAAATAGATAGGCATTTTTGAATGTATTCAATACAGAATGCTAAATACAAATGGTCTTGCTATGTTGTGTAAACATCTCTGTGCTACATGTTCACACAGAGGCAAATAAGCTTTGTTTCAGCTCTTTTTATACATAATAGTTTACAGATCTGGACAAGTGTATCTTAATTTAGTTTAAAATATCTTTTATTTACAGGTAACTTATGTCCTAGTTTAAGCCAGAGCAAGCCGTAGTAGGGGAAATCATTTTACCTGATAAATGTATAGCTGTTTATCAAGGTCTTTTAGAAAAAGTATTTTTGCTCACAAGGTGTAAATGAGCCCTTGGGAATAGTTTCAAAGGTGCTGAAACAGAATTAGAGTTGGGGGGACTGGCAGGTGGTGTGGTGGTTAAAGACGCTGGACTCCCACATAGCTGACCACAGTTTGAGTCCCAGACCTGGTAGCTTGCTTTCTCACTTTCCTTCTCTCTCTTTCTCTGACTCTCTCTGATCAAACTGGAAAATAATAATAAATAAAATAAAATAATTCTTTAAAAAAAGAATTAGAGTTAAGAAGCAATAATAGGGACAATTAAACTTTGGGAGAACCTGATTATAGGGCCATATATGATCATACCTCTATCTATCTCTCCTTTTTGATCTTGTACACAAGCACACGCACACATGCATGCACATGTGCACATGCAGAGACAGGCTACACTGGCTTTTTCCCAATTAGGAAAGGAACTAAATTCTTTCCCACCACAGGGCCTTTTTCACATGCTGTTTATTCATATAGGATCCTCTTCTCTGTACCCTCTTTGCCTAGTTACCTTTAGTTTGAAGGATTCTTCTTCCAGGAAGCTTTTCTTGATTTCTCTAATTATAAAAGGACCCCTCGTTTTCCATTTAAATTGCACTTTGTGGCTCTCCTGCCTCTTAATGCACAGCTGCAACTTCATACTTTTTGCTTATTATTGTTTGAGTCCCTAATTAAAGTATGCATTCCATGAGGGTAGCCCCAAGCTCTTCATCCCCATTGTTCCTATCCCCAAATATATGCCAATGTCTGGCATAGAGTAAGTACTCAATGAATACTGACTGATTAAATCAATCGATCAAGCTGTGATAACTTCTCTCAACCAGTCGTATCTATACTGACAGGCTATTTTACAGTACAGTTGTTAATGGAGTGTACAGACTTCAAAAAGTATACAATTTAGGATTAAGTCTTGGCTCTACCATTTCTAGCTACAGGGTTTGGGGCAAGTTCATTCACATTATTGTGCCTCAGCTTCCTCATCTGTAAAAGGGGGCTAATAATTCCATATTTCATTGAATCTAAGATGCCCTTGTAACACAACCATGTACCATAAAGGAAAAGTAAATCAATCAAACTAGATACAAGGCTTGCTTAGATATTTTCCACAATAAGATTGGTGAAGCAGCATCTCCTAAAGATGTACTCCACTACGCCTGCCTCACCTAACACCGGGCCCCACCTGGAAGACTTTCTTCCTTGCCATCAACGCCCATTCTGCAGGATAATCTTACCAGCAGATGTCAACAGGTTATAGACAAGGACCAGGAAGACTTTACAATCAACAAATAACCCAAAGCATGCGATGTCAACAATGTTTATAGTTTAACTAAAATACCAACAATATGAACAGCCATGACTAAGTGCAACATTAAACAATATCCCCATTACCACCACTCTGTTAATGGCCATAAGAGGTCATGGTTTATAAGATGTATTTGCATCTCAAGTCCAGAAAAAGTAAGACATGAAAAGTAGGTTCATCAGCAAATTTATGGAATGTATTAGATCTTTGCTGTAGGATCAAGTGTGTTAGAAAGTCTAAGGTGCACACTTTGTTCCTATGAAATCTTAGACACACAATAACAAATCCTCACCGTCTTTCTATAGATATTATCACTTCTGCCAGGCAGTCGTTGGCCACAGTATCCTCTTTGAACATCTCTGGAAGACCAGGCCAACTGCTGTCTCTCCCAGAGACTCAAGCAAGCACAGGTGAACTTGTCCTTTTATTCTATCCAGCAGTGGAAGCAATCTGGAGCCTGGAGAAGTCCAGGCTTTTTCGATTGTATTGAAGTGAGATTAGCACTCCCCACCAGAATCTCAGTGCCATGAAGCTAGGATTTTCATCTGCTTGAGTGCCCAGAACAGTGCTTGATACTCAGTAGGTCCTCAGTATGAGGGGACTTCAAAAAGTCTGCGGACAATGGAATTAAAGTATAAATTTATTTTGGTGCAAAAAAATTTGAGATGCAACATTTCTTCATATTATGTATTTTCCATGAATTCCCTCATATATGAAGCTGAATGGATGAAAAGCAATTCCATAGATATTTGTTACCGTTAATAGTGGTAAATCGAGAATTCACACTGGGGAGGATATGACTCATACCTGAGTCAAATGTAAAAAAGACTTTGATCCTCTACTCCTTTTCCATGGAAGCCTTTAAAAGATTCCAGTTTTATGAGACGATTTTAATGGAAATAAATTGAATACGGTGAAATTATATCATTAATTCTATTCAGTGTTAATTAAATTACTTCTTGATCGAAGGCTGTCCTGGATCACCTGGCAACAATGAAAGAAAAACAGGAGCAGGTGTTTGGGCTTAGTTCCTACTTGCTAACTAATTAGATGAAAATCCTAAGCAGTTTTCATTTGGCTCGGAAAATTGGAAGTTGGAGCCCAGGGGCTTCAGACACCTGTTTATCTTTCTTGCTTCTGTCCTGGAAGACACGGAATCATTAAGATGCTTTTACACATATCTAATCGTATGCACTGGAAGATGCTTTTCTAGTTAAGTCTCTGCTTTCTGTTGAGGCTAGTTTAACACAGTGGATAAGAACATAGTTTGGAGTCACATAGTCACAACCTGAATTGCAGTTCTATCATTTATTAGTTGTGTGACCTTGAGCACGTCCCTTAACCTTTCAGTGCTCCGGTTTCAAAGCTTATAAAATGGGAAACATGATAGCACTTACATCACTAGATTGTAATGTGGATTAAATAATTCAGCAATGCCCTAAATGTAAGTGCTATGTAAGTGTTAAATAAATAAAAAAATATATGCTTTCTAGTTCCCAAAACACTTTTGTTAATAATTGGTTACATACTCATTTAGGCATGTGACAGAAGTTACTACACAGGACCAGCAGATGGCATAATGGTTACCTTGCTGGACTCCCACACGGTGGACCATAGTTCAAGTACTGGACTTGGTGGTCTAAAACACACTGGGTGCATATGTGTGCATGCCCAAAATTGCGAGAGGAAAATAAAGGAGAAGGGATTGCGGCATGGCCATCCCCCACAAGGGTGATTTCCCGTTTTCTGTCTCTGTCTCTGTCCAGCAAGTACACACACCCTATAGCAAAAATCTCTCTCTAAAAAAATATATATATAGTTACCATAAACAGGCTTATATCAAGCTTCTACTCTCACTTGCCTAGTGAAAACAAAACATATAATTCCTACATAAAGGCTTGGTTTTGTTAGAGAACTATTTTAGTGGAGAGTTTGACTAAGGTTTTTTGGTGGCATGCAACAGAAACACGTACTGGTTACCCTAAGCAAAGCCACTGGAGGTGCCTCGAATTAAGCCTCAGAAAGGACAGGAATTAGGCATTTCTGGCGATCTCAAGAGCAGGAACTCATGTAGAGTTCCTTTGAGAATAACTTTTAAGATTTTCCCTCTTGCATCATTCCCCTGGATATCTGATTCTTCTTGAGTTTGATTGGCCTGAAGTTACATGCCCACCTTTGGGGCTAGTGGCCGGGAGCAGATGTGTGCCTGTCAGCTTGTCCCAATAGGATTGCAGGGCTTCTAGAAGAGAGTGGTAGAGAAGAAAGCAGCAGCTGTCCACCAAATGAAGAAGGAAAGAGGGAGGGTAATGTTTTCTAAATTACTGTCATGTTTGCACTGTAAGCCTTTCCAGAAATTGAAATAAGTATCTCTCCTCAGAGCATACTCTCTGAGAGCCTGTCTCATCTTTGAGCATTCATGCAAAAGAAGCAAGAATCTGGCAATCATCATAAACTGCTTCTTTCCCTGGCCTAATGAGGCAGATCTCCAGTTGTTTGTGTTGCATGAATTTAAATACTAATCTTTGCCTCGAAATTTCATAATAGCAATAATAATTCAATCAAAACAACATTATGCTAAACTTTCGGAATGTAACAAATGATAAGCTTACAAAAAAATGCCTTGCATATTCATGAATGCGTTTTTCCAGTTGGGTTGTTGTTGGCTATAAGCACCACAACACCCAACTTGAAGTAGCTTAAGCCAAATGAAAGTATACCCGAGTACATAACTGGATGTCTAGATGTCCAACAGGCTTTGGAGAACTCAATCCAGTGGTTCCAGCTCTGCTTCTCAGCAATCACCCTGATGCTTTCTGCCCTTGTTTTCTCTCGAGGTTCTTCATCTCAGGCTGGAAGCAAGATGGTGGCAGAATTTCCAGGTCTTACCAGTGCTGAAAATAGTAAGTGGTGGAAGACCTACATTATTTCTTTATGCAGGTCTCGGGAATAAGGCAATGTCCCCTAGAATCCTCTAGCAAACTTACTTGTTAGTCCACCTTAGGTCTCATGCCCAATTCTGAGATAACATTTGTGGCCAAGGTGATACCATCTGCTAACTGGCTTAGATCTAGTCTTTGGCAAAGAGAATCAGATTCATCATACCTGGCCCCAACTCACAGACCACTAGACAAAAAGAGCAGAAATAGGTCCAGCCGTGGTGGCACAGCAGAAGCACACCGCTCAGTGACGGTGGAGCCATATGGAAGATTGGAGTTTGGCTGGAGGAGGTGGATGACGACATCAAGACCCTATGGAGGGTGCTGTCTTTCTGCTTTCTCTCTGTCTCTCTTACTCATGGAAGAAATATATGAACTGTTTTAAGTGGGGATAAAGTGTACATTTATTTTGGTGCAAAAAAAAATCTTAAGCCATTTTGTCTTCTCATAATACATATTTTCTGTGAACTTTCTAAGCCTCCTTGTAAAATAATCTCAAAACTTGGATTCTACTGGTTCTATGTTGTGGGACTTATAAATCTAGGCCTCAGGAGGTCTTATTAGGGCCAGCAGGTGGCATGGTGGTTAAGAGTGCTGGAGTCCCACATGGTCAATTATGGTTCAAGTCCCAGACCTTTCAACTTGCTTTCTCGCTTTCCCTTTCTCTTTTTCTCTCTCTCTCTCTGGTCACATTAAAATAATAATGCAAGTTGTAATAACAAGTGGAATTAAATAAGTTAATAAATATTAAGAAAAAAAAAAAGGGGTCTTGTAGCTTCCACTTTCACTGTCTTCAGATGTGAAGAAGCCAGGTCCAACGTACTAGAAGATAAAAAGCCTTGTGGAGGGGAAACAAGTGTCCCAGCCAATAGCCCACATGAACCCGCATGAACTCCACCAAACACCGCTGCCTTCTTTAAGGTGTTAATTAAGTTTCCTAGTTTTACTATTTAAAAGATATCAAATTTGGAATCTTTTTTTTTTTTTTTTGAAAGAGATTTTGTGTGCTCACCAGAAAAAGAGAGACAGAATGTGGGAAATCACTCCCCAGGGGAAATGGTCAGGCCACAATCCTTTCTCCTCGATTCTCCTCATGGGATATTTGCACACACATGTACACACAAGTGGTGCGTTTCAAGTCGCCAGGTCTAGGACACAAACCATTGTTGATTATTTGGGAGTCCAGCACCTCAATCACTATGCCATCTGCTGGTCCCCAAACATGGAATTTTAAAATGAATCAATATAGGGCCTGCAGGTGGCATGGTGATTAAGGCGCTGGACTCCCATATGGCTGGACGTGGTTTGAGTCCCAGACCTGGCAGCTTACTTTCTCACTTTCTCTTTCTCTCTCTCTCTCTGTGTCTCTCTGGTAAAATTAAAACAATAATAATAAATAAATAAAAATAATTATTAAAAAAATTAAATGAATCAATATAAAGCACTTAAATTAGAAACTAAACAACTTTTTTTTTTTTTCAAAAAAATCAAAACAAAAGGCATACTAGGGTCAAGTAAGTTGAAACTTGCCAAACTAAATTTTTTTTTCCTTTTCTCCTTACTTTAAATACCTTATCTTGGGGCCGGCAAGTGGTGTAGTAGTTGAGGGCGCTGGATTCCCACATGGCCAACCGCAGATTGAATCCTGGACCTGGCGGCTTGCTTTCTCACTTTCCCCTTCTCTCTGTCTCTGTCTCTGGTCAAATTAAAAAAAAAAAAAAGGAAATAAATAAATAATAATTCCTTAAAAAGGAATAAAAATCTTAAATACCTTATTTTAGGGCATTTATACTTATCTAATTTTGGTCAGTATAGAAGTAAAACTGTAATTGAAAGCAAAATTAGTAATTTAAGCATACTTAATTTAAAAAAATACCAAGTTCATATAGTAATTTAGCCTCAATTACTTTGATACAGATAAAACTTTTTCTTTATTGACATTTAGAGTGTTGTATTTTTCATTAAGTATTTTTCCATTTTTGTCTGCAGAAAGTTTTTTCTAAACTCATTATACAGTGTTCAGAACACTTTTGTTAACTCAGTAGACTGAAAATATTCTTTACACAAATCAAGTTCACCATTGCTTTATTGGAGTAAGGATATCTTTATCAGGGAGAAAAAAAGACCTCATATTTGGCTAGTTACTTACATTTTAAAAATAAATACTGTACATCTTTATGTGGTACCATGTGGTTTTTCCAAACATATAGAATTATAATAATCAAGAAAATAAACATATTTACCAACCCCAACATTTATTGTTATTTTGTGTTGTACACATTCAAAATGTGCTCTCTTGGTTATCTGGAAATACATATGAAATTATCACCAATGTTTTTCACTGTATTTCCACTTACTTAAATGCACTCTTGTATGTGTTCACCACATTCTCTCCATCCCCCCACTCCTCTCCCCTTTCCATAATCTGGTATCAACCATTACACTATTTCCATGCACCTGAGTCTTCTAGCTTTTGCTAATGAGTAAGAACAGATAGTATTTACTGGATTATCAGAAAAGTCATGATGTTATTTTTCTGTTTTTCTATGTAAAAATGTCTTCTGACTTCTTGGATGCCCCAATAAGTAGCAACAGACAGTTTTTGTCTTAAAGAGCCTAGCTTACTTCACTAACCGTTATTTTACTTCACTAACCATGTTTATCCACTTTGCCTCCAATGACAGGAACTCATTCTTTCCATGACTGAATAATATTCCACTGTGCAGGCACACACACATACACACACTGATTTTCTTTCTTTATCCATTCATCGGTTGTTGGGCACTTAGGTGAATTCCCTATCTTAGCTAATATAACTAATGCTACAATAAATATGGTAGTGCAGATATCTCTTCAACATACTGATTTCTTATCCTTTGGATACATACCTAGTAGTGTGATTATAGGATCATAAAGAAGTTCTACTTTTATTTTTTTTGAGGAACCCCCATACTGTCTGCCATAGTGGCTATACTAATTTACATTCTCACTGGCAATACACAAGGGCTACCCTTTTCTCTGTAGATTTGCCAGTACTTGTTATTCTTTTTTTGATAGTAGCCATTCTAACTGGGGTTAGACTAGGGTCCCCAACCCAGAGGCAGTCAAGTGAGCAAGACTTCATCTGTGTTTGTGAACACTCCTCATTGCCCACATTGCTGCCTGAGCTCTGCCTCCTGCAGCAGCGGCATTAGATTCTCATGCAAGTATGAACCCTATTGCCATGTGATTATTTCACTGTATACTGCAACGTGGCAGTGGTAGAAATGGGGTGCACAGTGGATGTGGTGCACTTGGGTCCTCCTGGGACCTATTCCCCTCCCCTAACCCCCAGCTGGTCATTGGTGCTCAGAAGGTTGGGGACCACTAGAGTTGGACAGTAGCTCACAGGTTGTCTCTTCAATTCTCTTTTACTGATAAAGATTCTTATTCAAGGACTCACTCTGCTTTTCCTGGAGGAACATGTTAGAACATAGGCCTCACAAGATGTGCCAGTTTACAATGATAAAAGCAAAGGCCAATGTAAAATCTGATAAAGCCAATGATAATGTACTACATCTTGGCTTGTGCTACTTTGACTGTACCCTCAAAGTTGTCAACATCCAGAACAATTCTGAATGGTTTTATTGGGGTTTTTTTGTTTTTGTTTTTTTTTTTTTTGGAGAGGTTTTTGCTGTAGGGCATGTGCGCTCGCCAAAAAGACAGAGATAGATAGAGAGACAGAAAGCGAGAAATCACCACCCAGGGTGAATGGCCATGCCACAATCCCTTCTCGTCCATTCTTCTCCTGGGATCTTGGGCACACACACATGTGCACCTGGCATAAGTTTAAGCCACTGGGTCTAGGGCTCAAACCACAGTCGATTACATGGGAGTCCAGTAACATAGCCATCACACCAACTGCTGGTCCCTCGATGTATTTTTTTAAGAATTATTTAATTTTATTTATGTATTCATTCGACCAGAGAGAGACACAGAGACATAGAGAGGGAAAGTGAGAAATCAAGTCACCAGGTCCCGGACTTGAACCATGGTCAACCATGTGGGAATGCCCAGTACCTTAACCACCATGTCATCTGTTGGCCCCAATTCTGAATGTATTTGTTGGAGCATTTAATTACTCTTTGGTAATTAAGTGATTTCTAAATGGTTCCAGGAAGAGACAACCTTGTATTTCAATTGAATTTAGACTACTTTTAGAACTTGAACCTAAAATATCCAATCATGTAGCACCCTTTTATGGGATCAGTCTCTATTCTTAAAGCCTACCTAGTCACAAGAATAACTAAGCATAGTCAGATTGTTAATAAAGTGCCAATAATGATTTAACACACTAACACCCATATAGGTAAGGAGCAGATAATAAAAAATACACACTTACTGGCTACTGGATCTATAGATAAGCAAGTTATCCTCCCCAGAAAAGGCAGTCTGTCTCTTGGTTTTCTACAAGTTTTAAATGGTATTGAACAACACCATTATGCCTACAATCACTCATGCCCTTAGGAGGAAAGAGTTTCCAAAGTATGATTATGAGAACTGGACTGACCTGGCTTCTATGGGTAAGTTTTTTTTTCTCTTTTCTTTTTCTTCAATTTTCAAAGCGTATCTATTTAAGTAAGATTATTTGGTGAAAGCAGAATAGATATCCTCATATTCCCACCCCACCTTTTATACAGATCAGTGGTTTATTGCATATTCCTAAAGTTTTGCAGTCTTCACCCCCAATGCTGCTGTGAACATTCATGTGCAAGTTTATATGTGTGCATGTATTCAACTTTGTTGAGTAAATAGCTAGTAACAGAATTGCTAGATCAACGTTTAACTTACTCAGAAACTGTCAAACTGTTTTCCACAGAAGCTGCGTGATTTTTCATTCCCACTAGTAATGTAAGTGGGTTCCAATTTCTCCACATCCTCACTAGTATCTACTATTGTTTTTTATTATGGCCATC